ATTTCAACACTATATCGTGCTAACTACCCCCCTCTTTTTAAACGACTCAGGACCGATTTACATAATTGGGCAGATCTCCTTTTTATCCTGGTTTGGTAGAATCAATTCCATTAAAATTACTTTTCTGCCAAGACTAGTATAATATTTTCGGACTTTGCCAATTGTGGTCCCCAGACGGGAAATCTTACTCTTACAATCTGCTGGCTCTAAATTTATTTGAGGAGGTAAACGTCCTCGGGTCAATAATTCGACTTAATTTTCTCAGAAAAAGCATGGCGGTTTGAGACTTCCTAATCTTATAACTTATTTTCATGTGACTCAGATAACACAGCTCTCCTGCACTACTGCTGGGGCTATGTACCTCAATGGGTTGGCACTGAGGCCCTATCTTGCCGTTCGTATGCTGTTGGCTCCCTTATGTGGCTTCCCAGTCGGTTGCGTCCTCCCATCCTTTGCCCTACGTTATTATATTCTTTAACAATCTGGGATAGATGGCGGGCCAGCAAGCCGTTATTTTCCCTACATACCCCTCTGGCCCCAGTTTTTTGTAATCCTGAATTCACACCTGGTTTAACACCATCTGTGTTTCACTGGTGGATCAGTAAGGGGTTTTTGCATATCGGGGACTATTTGGATGGGCTTCGTCCATATTCTCTCCAATATTTTCAGACAAAGTGCCACCTGCCTTCTAGCGAACTGTTTCGGTATCATCAAATCATGTCTTTTGTCACTAGCAAACTTAAATTACTAACGGAACCCTGTACGCTCACCCCTCTCGAGGTCTCCTGTGGGGCTACGGGGACGGTGAAAGGTCGTCTGTCTAATATATATGCTTCCCTTGTTGATCCAAATATTAAGCTCTCATATATGGTGCATTGGGAAAGGGATTTAAATATTTCTTTGGAGTTGGACATTTGGCAGAATATGGCTAATGCTCTAATATCTCGATTGACACTACACTCATTGAATCTAACTACAAAACGCTTTTGGTATTTGGTCCCTACACATCTTGCTAAAATGTACCCTTCTGTGTCACCCAGCTGTTTTCAACATTGTGGACAAGAGGGTACTATGCTCCACATATGGTGGAAGTGCCCTGTGGTGACTAGGTTTTGGATCCGTTTATTTAATTTCCTTTATTCGGTAACGAGGGTTAATATTCGTAGATCCCCTGAAATAGCTCTATTTCATTTATTGCCCACTGATATTCCTAAGAAATTGGTTAAATTGATTCTTTATATCCTGTTGACGGCGAGAATTACGATAGCCAAACGTTGGAAACAGTCAGAAACCTCGCTGGACTTAGTCAAACAGAAACTTAATTGGATTATGATTAATGATAAACTTACTAGTATACTTAACAACAATACTTCTAAATTTGAGAGCACTTGGGATCCATTGATTTGGTATATTTCTGCTATTTAACGGACTCTTGGCTGGCCCTCTCTCTTATTTCTTTTTAGGGTTTTATTCTTGTCTACTACGTTACTGATATTATTCATACCACTTTGTTTATGGAGCAATTTGCTCATAATCGAGCAAACTCTGCTTGTGCTACCAGTGTATTCCTCATTACGCTTTATTGGTCGATTTTGTTGTTGTGTTGCTACACATTGTACTTGAATTTACTGTTTTATTGCTTGAAGTTCTGCAACTCGTCATGTTGGTGGGTTGCGTTTCCTGTCTTTCTGTATAATGTTTCTAAACATTCTTAATAAATACAGTATATTGAAATATAAAGTTATTACAATAAGATAGACAAGTGCATCCGACGCCTTTCAAGGGCCCAGGGTTTGTGTTGTGTGTAGAAATACTCCTCAAGTAGAATCAGAAGAATATTAAAGTGTTACTAAACCCACATCATTAAAATCAGTCTGGAACCTAAAGGGTTAATCCTCTGCATTGTGCAAAAATTCTGTTTGATCCTGTCACCTCTGATCCTCTCTTTCTACTGTCCCCAATCCATCTGCTGATAGTACAGAGCTGTAAGAGGCACTCTGCACAGGTTCAGTTTGGTGTGTATTGGTAGAAAGTATTTTTGTTCTTTGGGAGGGTGCATGTGATCAGCACAGGGCCAATCAGCACTGTCCAGACGGTCAGGGGATGTGCAGCCTCATAGGACCTTCAGAGGAGAATTAAAACTCCTTCTACAAGCTTTAAAGTGTTACTAAACCCAGGACCCTGCATTCACCATATCTGGTCTCCAACGGTACAAAAAATATGGAAATGCAATTGTTTTAGTAAATATAAACTGTTAAATACATTTTCTCATCAGCAGTTAGAGCAGTCTTGTGATTTCTATCAGTGTCCAGCAGAGCACATGTTAAAGCTTGTAGGAGGAGTTTTCATTCTGCTGTAGGAGGATGCAGAACCCCTGATCTCTGTCTGGACAGTGCTGATTGGCCCTGTGCTGATTACATGCACTCTCTCAAGAAAAAAAAAGTTAGTTAAAATAGGCATGAATGCAGAACTAAACCTCCACGTATTCTTGGAGGCTTAAAGTGATTGTAAACCTCAGACATAAAATATAAAATGAAGCATAGTCCTCTATAGTGTATACTTGTCTCAGTCCAGAGCATTAATTGTCATTTATGTCTGCTGCCTTGTTCCTCTACTATCAGCATGAGTTACTTCTGATGAGTTTTCCTGACTCCAAAAGAAACATGGAGAAAGGGGAGGCTGCAGCCTCTGATTGACAGCTTCAAAAATGTTCCTGTGTGCTTTGTGAAGAGGGGTGTGTCCAGGGGCAGACTGACAACTCATGGGGCCCTTGGGCAATAGGAGATAATGGGGCCCCCTGTGTCCCTGCCCACACTCAAGCCACATGTACACAATGCCCCACCTACATATTGCAGCTCAGCTGCATAGGTGGGTATTTAAATATCTACTGCAGCATAGCATGCAAGGTAGTTCCTGGCTTCTTTCTGTAGAAGCTGCTGGGCACTTCCAGGTTTAAAGATGGCTGTGGCATAGCAGTCATCTTTATGATGCAACCAGGGACAATTTATGAAAGCAGTGGGCCTGTGTGCAAGAACATAATTTGGGTCCTGGCCGCACAGAAAGAAGTGCGGAGTGCACAAAAATGGATGTGGTTTTCAGGAGCTGTAGGCAACACCTGCTGGTTACATTGTACAGTAAACAAGCCTGATGACTGAGAAGTTAATTGCCTTGTGCTGGCTGTTCAGCTCCCACTCAGCCTCTTTCCTGACAGGGGAGCCAACCTCCCACAACCCTTTTTGTTTCCTGACAGACCATGGAAAATCTGACAGTGAATTTTTTACTGAAATATGACAGAAACTCCTGTTAGAAAACTAAGAGGGGGTAGTGAGATAGAGACAGAAGAGGGCAGGGAGAGAGAGATAGAAAAGTAGGAGAGAGATGTAGGAAGGGGAGAGAAGGCGGGGAGAGAGGAAGGTGAGAAGGGGAGGTGAGAGAGAGGCGGAGGGTGAGATAGGGAGAGAGAGAGAGTGAGAGAGTAATAGAGAGAGGTGAGAGAGAGAAGAGGGTGAGAGAGAGAGGGAGGGTGGAGAAGAGAGAGAGGAGGGAAGAGACAGGGAAGGATAGAGGGGGTGAAGGGAAAGCTAGAGAGGGTGAGAGAAAGAGGGGGGGCTGGTGAGAGGGAGGTAAGAGAGGGGGGGGGGGGGGAGAAAGGGTGAGAGAGAGAGAATGGAGAGAGGGAGAGAGAGAGGGGGGGGGGGGGAAAGAGAGGAAAGAGGGATGGAGGGAGAGGGAGAGAGAGAGCGAGGTGAGAGAGAGAGGGGTAAGAGAAAGGGGGGGGGGAGGGGAGCAAGAGGGTGATATAGAGGGTGTGAGAGAAGGAGGGGATGGGGGAGAGGGAGAGGGTGAGAGAGAGAGGGGGATGGGGGTGGGTTAGAAGAGGGGGGGGGTGAGAGAGGGAGGGGAGTGGATGAGAGAGAGAGGGTGGGTGAGAGAGAAGGAGAGGGGGGGGAGAGAAAAAGAGAGAGAGAAAAAAAGAGAGGAAGAGAGGGGGAGAGGGAGTGAGAGAGGGGGGGATGGAGAGAGAGAGAGGAGGGGGGAGGGAGAGGAGAGAGAGAAAGGGGTGATAGAGAGAGAGATGGAGGGAGGGGGAAGAGATAGTGTGTGAGAGGGAAAGAGCAAGGTAAGAGAGAGGATAGGAGAGAGGAGGGGAGAAAGAGGGTGATAGAGAGAGAGGGTGAGATGGAGTGGGGAGAGAGAGAGGGGAATAGAGAGGGAGGAGAGGAAGGAGAGGGAGGGAGAGAGAGAGGGGGGGGGGGGAGGGGGGGGGGGGGGGAGGAGAGGGAAAGAGAGGGAGGGAGGGGGGGGAGGAGAGGGGGGGAGAGAGGGGGAGGAGAGGAGAGAGAGTGGGGGGGAGAGAGAGAGGAAGACACTCAGTGATGAAGGAGTCAGTGTCTGTTCACCTAATATGAGCTACCATATTTTTCACTCCATAAGACGCACCTGACCATAAGACACACCTAGGTTTTAGAGGAGAAAAACAAGAAAAAAAATATTCTGAACCAATGGACTGCAGACATAGTACAGGAGATGACCAGAGACTGCGGACACAGTACAGGGGATGGGAGACTGCGGACACGGTACAGCAGATGACCAGAGACTGCGGACACAGTACAGCAGATGACCAGAGGTGGACTGCGGACATAGTACAGGAGATGACCAGAGACTGCAGACGTATTACAGGGGATGACCAGAGACTGCGGGGGGGGACAGTACAGATGACCAGAGGAGGGCAGACAGTACAGGGGGATGACCAATAGACTGCAGACAGTACAGGGGATGACCAAGAGACTGCAGACAGTACAGGAGATGACCAGAGACTGCAGACATAGTACAGGAGATGACCAGAGACTGCGGGGGGTACAGGGGATGGGGGGGAGGGGCGAACACGGTACAGCAGATGACCAGAGACTGCGGACACAGTACAGCAGATGACCAGAGACTGCGGACATAGTACAGGAGATGACCAGAGACTGCAGACGTAGTACAGGGGATGACCAGAGACTGCGAACACAGTACAGATGACCAGAGACTGTAGACAGTACAGGGGATGACCAAGAGAGGCAGACAGTACAGGATAGATGACCAGAGACTGCAGACAGTACAGGGGATGACCAAGGACACTGCAGACAGTACAGGAGATGACCAGGAGACTGTGGGGAGGGGAGGGAGGGGGAGCCGGGACCTGAATTTGACAGGTACCCACTTCCACAGAGTTGTCCTCCCTTTAGTGTGGGCACCCGGGACCATGACAGGGTCCCAGAAGACGCCGGGCCATTCACAAAGTGCAGTGCTTCTCTCACATGGCAGTGGGGGCACCCAGCTGTCATAGGGGGGTTCCCACACTAAAGATGCTGGCGCGGGAAGACTGTACAGCGCTGGACCGAGGATCAGGTAAGGTCCTGCTGCAGAGAAAGAGCTGAGGGGGTCGGCCCAGGATTCTGACACGGTGTCAGGGGCGGGGGGGGGGGAACCGGCAGCTCCATATTCGCTCCATAAGACGCACTGACATTTTCCCCCCTTTTTTGGGGGGAAAAAAGTGCATCTTATGGAGCGGAAAATACGGTACTTCCTGGATCGGGAGCTTCTGCTGCTGCGCCTCTCCTCACCGTCACTGACTGTCTCAGCTCCTTATCTGCTCCCATCTCGATGTCAGGAACCATCGCGACGGGTGGAGGTCTGCACATGCGTAGGTGTCTGTCAAGGGATGCAGGCAGCACGGCACTAGGGACCCAGGGGGCATTCGTCACCTATGAAAGCGCTGGGCAGGCACTAGGGAGGCTGCACCTGTCAGGTGCAGGGCTGGGGGGGGGGGAACCAGCCCTGCACAGACACAAGTTGCCGTATGGTCTGATCTTGTTCCTGTGATCTGTGAGTTGATTCCTGACTGTTGCTGACCTTTGGTTGAACCTGACCTTGCTGATATTCTCCTGCTCTGACCCTCTGGGGAGGGGTTTGACTACTCTTCTGGATATCCCTTCTGATCTGAAAGGGGAGGGATGTTACCAGACCCGGGGAGTGACCTGGGGGGAATCTGTGGGGCTGTCTTGTACCAAGCTGTGGGGGGATGGTTACCGACCCAGGAGTCTGACCACGCTATTGCTCAGCCATCCATCCAACCCGCACGGATTAGCTGCTATTCTCCAGACCTGTGGGGAGGGGGACACCGGGGGGGGAGGGTGGGGGGGGGTGATTCCTCTACCTCAGGTGGGTGTACTCAGGGGGGGGGACCTGGTCACTGTCTGCTCCAAGAGACGGTCAGGGGGGGGAAGGGAGGGGGAAGGGGGACTGGAGTGGGGGGGGATGGGAGGGGATGGGGGGAAGGGGGAATGAGGGGGGGGGGGGGGGGGGGGGGGGAGGTGGGAGAGGGGGGGGGGGGAGGGGGGGGGAGGAAGGGGAGGGGGTAGTGATAGTTGGGGAGGGGGAAGGAAGGGGGGGAGGGGGAGGGGGATTTTGGGGCAAGAAGGGGAGGGTTGAAGGGGGATGGGGGGGGGGGCTGGGGAGGGGGGGGGGAGGAACTGGGATGAGGGAGAGGGGGGAGGGGTTGTGGGGAAGAAGGTGAGGGAGGATGGGGGGGGGGGGGGGGAAGGAGGATGAAGAGGGGATGATGGGGGGAGGGGGGGGGGGGAAGTGATAGGGGGAAGGGGGGGAGGAGGGAAGGAAAAGGGGGGGAAGGAGGGGAAGGGGGGGAGGGGGGGAAGGAGGAGGAGGGGAAGGGGATATGGGAGATGGATGAGGGGGAGAGGGGGAGGAGGAAGAAGAAGGGGAGAAGTGAAGGAGGAGGGGAAGGGAGTGGGGGAAGGGGGGAGGGGGAGAAGGATGGGGGGGGGGGGGGGGATGAGGAGGAGAGGGGAGGAGGGGGAGGGGAGGAGGGGGGGGAAAGAAGAGGGGGGGGGGGAAGATGGGGGAAGGGGGGAGGGGGGGGAAGATGGGAGAGGGGGAGAGGGGGGGGGGGATGGAGGGGGGGGGGAAGGGGGGGGGGAGAGGGGGGGAAGGGAGGGGGGAGGGAGGGGGGGGGGGAAGAAAGGGGAGGGGGAAGGGGGGAGAGGGAGAGGAGGGGGGGGGGAGGATGAAGGGGGGGGGGGGGAGGAAGGAGGGAGGGGGGGGGGGGAGTAGGGAGGGGGGGGGGAGGGGAGGGAGGGGGGGGGGATGGGGGGGGGAAAAGGAGAGGGGGGGAGGGGAGAAGAAGGGGGGGAGAAAGGGGGGAAGGGGGGTTTGGTGAGGGGGGGAGGGGGGGGGGGGATGGGGAGGAGGAAGGGGGGGGAGGAAGAGGGGGAGGAGGGAAGGGGGAGGAAGGGGGGGGGAGGGGGGGGAAAGAAGGGAAGGGAGGGGGAAGGAGGGAGGGGGGGGGGGTGAAGGGGGGGGGGGGAGGGGGGGGGGGGGGGGAGAGGGGGGGGAGAGGGGGGGAGAAGATGATGGGGAGAGAAGGGGGGGGGGGGGGGGGGGAAGGAAGGGGGAAGAGGAGGGGGGGGAAGGAGGGGGGGGGTGGGGGGGGGATGGGGGGAGGAGGGGAGGGGGAGGGGGGGGAGGGGGGGGGAGAAGAGGGGGGGGGGGGGGGGGGAGGATGGGGAGGAGGGAGGGGGGGGGGAGGGGGAGGGAAGAAAGGGATGGGTTGGGGGGGGAAGGGGGGGGGGGGGGGAAGAAGGGATGGGGGGGGGAGGGGGGGGGGGAGGGGGGGGGGAGGGGGGAGGGGAAGGGGGGGGGGGGGGGAGGGGGGGGGGGGGGGGGGAAGAAGGGGGGGGGAGGGGAGGGGGGGGGAGAAGAGGGAGATGGGGAAGGGGAGGGGAGGGGGAGAGGGGGGGGGGGGGGAGGGGGGGGGGGGGAGGGATGGAGGAGGAAGAAGGAGAGGAGGGATGATGGGGAGGGGAGGGGGGGGGAGGGGGGGGGATGGAGGGGGGAAGAGGGGGGGGGGGGGGGGGGGGGGGAAAGGGAGGGGGGGGGGGGGATGAAAGGGAGGGGGGAGGGAAGGGGAGGGAAGGGAAGGGGGGGGGGGGGATGGGGGGGGGGGAAAGGGGGGGAAGAAGAGGGGGAAGAAGAGGGGAAGGGGTGGGGGGGGGGGGGGGGAGGGGGGGAGGAAGGAAGGGGAGGGAATGGGAGGGAGGGGGGGATGGGATAGGAAGAGGAGAAGGGGGGAGGGGGGAAGGAAGAAAGGGGGGGGGGGGAGGGGGAAGGGGGGGGGAAGGGGGGAGGAGAGAAGAAGAAGGGAGGAAGAAGGAGGGGAGGAGGGAAGAAGGGAAAGGGGGGGGAGGAGGGGAAAAAGAGTGAAGGAGGGGGGGAGGGGGGATGAGAGAAGGGAGGGGGGGAAGAAGGGAGGGAAAAGGAAGAGGGATGAGGAGAAGGGGGGAGGGGGGAGGGGGGGGGAAGGGGGGAGGGGGAAGAGGAGGGAGGAGAAGGAAGAAGGGGAGAAGAAGGGGATGAGGGGGGGGATGGAAGGGGGAGGAAAAAGGGGGGGGAGAAGGAAGGGAGGGAGGGGATGGGGAAGAGAAGGGGGGGGGAGGGAAGGGGGAAAGGAAGTGGGAGGTAGAGGAAGAGAGGGAGGATGAAGAGAAATTGAGGAGGGGGGGAGGGGGGGAGAAGGGGAGAGGGGAAGGAGAAGGGGGGGGAGGGAGGAGGGGAAGGAGGGAGGAGGGGGGAAGGGGGGGGGGATGAAGGAAGAAGGAGAAGGAAGGGGGGGGAGAAAGAGGGGGGTGGGAAGAAGAAGAGAATTGGGGGAGGGAGAATGGGGGGGAGAAGGGAGGGGGAGAGGAGAGGGAAGAAGAGGGGGGGAAGGGAAGAGAGAAAGGAGGGGGGGGGAGGGAGGAGTGGGGAAGGAGGGGATGGGAGGGGGGGGAAGAGTTAGGAAGAGGGGAAGGGGGGGAGGAGGAGGAAGGATGAGGAGAAGAAAAAAAGGGGAAGGAGGGGGGGGGGGGGAAGAGGGGGGAGGATGAGGGGGAGGAGGGGAGGAGAAGGGAGGGGGGAGAAGAAGGGGGGGGATGAGAAGAAGGGAAAAGAAGGAGAAGGGAGGGGGGGAAGGAGGGGGGAAGGGGGGGGGATGAAGAGGATGAGGGGGGGGAGAGGAAGGGGAGGAGAAGAGAGGGGGGAGAAAAGAAGGAGAGGAGGGGAAAGGGGGGGGAGGAAGGGGGAAGGGGAGGGGGGAGGGGATGGGGAGGAGAGGGAGGGGAAGGATGAGAGGAGAGGAGAGGGGGGGGGGGGGGAAGAAGAAGAAGAAGGGTTGGAAGAAGAGGGGGAGGGGAAGAAGAAGAAGGGGAGAAGGGAGGAGGAAGAAGGAAGAGGGAGGGGGAGGGATGATGGGGGGGAGGGGGGGGGGGGGGGGGAAGGGGAAAGGGGGAAGAAGGGGGGGGGGAGGAATGAAGGGGGGAAGGTGGAGGATGGGGGGGAAGGAAGGGGGGAGGGAGGGGAGAGGGGGATGGGGGGGGGGGATGAAGGAAGGAAGAAAGGAGGGATGGGGGAGAGGGAGGGGGATGGGAAAAGAAGGGGGAAGAGGTGGGGGAGGGGATGGAAGGGGGGGGGGGGGGGAGGGAGGGGGAAGGGGGGGGTGAGGATGAAGGAAGGAGGAAGGGGGAAGGGGGGGGAAGGAAGAAGAAAGATGAGGAAGGAAGAAGAAAGAAGGGAAGAAGGGAGGAGAAGGGGGAGGGGGGAGGAAGTGGAGGGGGGAAGGAAAGGGAGGGAGGGGAGGGGGGGGAGGGGAGGGAAGAAGATGGGGGGGGGGATGGGGGATGGGAGGAAGGAGGGGGTAGAAGGGGGGGGGAAGGGAAGGAGGTAGGGGGGGAAGAGGATGGGGAAGGGGGAGAAGAGGGGGGGGAAATGATTGAAGAAGAAGAGGGGGGGAGGGGGGAAGAAGAGGGGGGATGAAGAAGGAAGAAGAAGAAGAAGGGATGAGGGGGTGAGGAAGAAGAGAATGGGAAGGAAGAGGATGAGGTTGAGAAGAAGGAGAAGAGGGGGGGGGGGGGGGAGAGGAAGGGGTGGAAGATGAGGAGGAAGAAGAGGATGAAGAAGAAGAGAGAAAGGGGGAGGGGTGGGGATGAAGGAAGGGGGGAAGAGGATGAGGGGAAGAAGAAGGGATGAGGAAGGGAAGAAGAAGAAGAGATGAGGATGATGAAGAAGAGAGAGGATGAGGATGAAGGATGGGGATAGAAGGAGAGGATGAGGAGGAAGAAGAAGAGGAGAGGGGGAAAAGAAGGAGGTATGAAGAAGAGGGTGAGGATGAGGGGGGAAGAAGAAGGGGAGAGGAAGAAGGAAGAAGAAGAAGAAGGATGAGGATGAAGAAGGAAGAGGAGGAAGAGATGGAAG